CCCATGTGTTGCACCCGCCTAAAATAATGAAGCAGTGGGATAGGAGGCACAGCATCTTGAGATCAGAAATGACTGGGAAGAGTGGAAAAATGAATAGGTTGGCTCTGGAAAGGGTGTTCAAAGGTTGTCTCCCAGAGAGTTCTACTATTTCCTCAGGTTTGCAGGCCATTTCATTTAAATCCTTTGGCTGAAAAGGAGGTTGCTTTTCATAATGCACTATAATCCTGCTGCCAAATTTAGACAAACATGGAGCCTGGCCAGCTTTTAAGGATCATCTGTGGGAACTGTGTATGTGCTGTAGATCAATCAAGGACTCTGGCAAGCATAACTTCAGCTAAAGAAAACAGGGTGATGCTGCTTGCTACAGCCCTACTCCAGAAGTAGCTGTCCCTACACTGAAAGCTACATATGTGTGTTTTCATCTGCTCTCCTTTCCACAGCCAGACATCACCCAAGGAGAAGGTGTTGCACCCAAAGCACAGAGCTCAAGATTGTTATTTTCTGCTCACTTTCTTTCCACAGTCCCAGGTTTCTGCATGAATTACTTGTGAAAGCCTTTCCTGTCCTTCCAAGGGCTACAAGCCTCTTCCCTTCCCCAAGGGATGGATGATGTTATCAGAAAGTGGGACACATTTGGCTCTGTCCTACCTTCCGATGGGCCTGGAGCAGTTCTCACAGATGGCAGGATGCTGACAGTAATATGGGCCATCCTCCTGCATCACACACAGCACAATGAGGCACTGGGAATTCCCTGGAGGATGCCCATTCAGACCTGGGGGAAGCAAAAGGAAAGACCATATGCAGCAGCATCTTCTGGCCAGTAACTGAAACAGTCTGAATGGTGAGGGAAGCCAAATGGAGGCCTGCTAAGCCTGGGTGACCAGTCACAGAGTCTGCCTTCAGGAGGTACCTGCTGATTCTGCTGCTGAACACATTCCAGCTGGCTCTTCCTTAAGGAACTTGCTGCCTCAGTGCTGACAGCAGAAAACCCTTTGTCGGTGGAGGAAACAGCTCTGACTCAAAAGCACCCAGGGAATGGAGCTGGTGAGTAACGTGGTGCTGTTTACACACAGTCACATTGCTGACTACAACTCTTGTAGTTTCTTCTACCAGTTTCTTTTTCCTTTGGCATGTTCTTCTGTGACTGCTTATTCCTCAAGTTTAACCAGTTCCTCACTGGCTGGTGAGTAACTCAGCCAGAAGCATCCTGCCATGAACTGTTAATTCCCTTAAACCCAATACATTCCAAGCTATTGGATTTTTACCTGATGTGCTGATTCCTCACTCAGGACTCCACATCCTTGTCTTAGCACCAAACACTCTGCAAGTGGCTGTAGGACTCTGAAGTGCAGCTATTGAGAGGTTCCAGGAGTGTTTCCTCCAGACCTACACATACCAAAGGCAACAACACTCCCTCAGCACCAGACCTGTCTGCTCAGCACCACGTCTCGTTTACTGAACAAGTGAGAAAACACTCATTGTTGATCAATATTTTATGTTAGTTTTCTACTTTAAACAAAACTTTAGGCACATTTCCTAAGCAAACACAGCACATGCAGTTCTATGATCCCACTGTCCGTTCAACCTCCTCTTTTCTTCCCATTATTTTGAAACACAACAGACAATTTCAGCTACAGTCAAGAACAGGGGACAAGTTTCACAGTTCCTACAAGTTTTGTAACTAGCATAACAAAGGAAAGCTGCATTAGTGCCCATGCAGTGAGCAAGACTTGAAACTTCCGCCTGATTTCAGGGAATTGACACAGGAGTGATCTATCACATTGTCATCTGAAATTCCCTGACTCACACAATTCCTTGTTTCACTTTTGTTCCTCTATCTTATAGGGAAAGGCAAGCAAGAATGGATACTTCCACTGGACCTTTCCAGCCCAATGGCTATCAGGCAGTTTCAAACATAAGCCTCCATCTCACTGGGTATCTCCAGTCTCTGGAATACAGAGCATGAATTCACCTACCAACCACTTGCTGACTTTCAACCATTTCCTCTCAGCAGAGTAGTAAGATGAAGGAAAATCTTCAAGTCTTTACTATTTTGAAGTTATAAAAGTCAAGCCTTTCCTGTTTTCAGCCCACACCACAGCTACATCTGCACAAACACGTTTACTAACTGTGCAGGTACATTGATACACACGTGTTTTGGAGAGGAACAGCATCCCATAATAAAGCTTTGTCAACAATATATTCTGTACTCGTGCTCCCCCTATAGAATAATAGGTGCAGCTTTCATCCAAGTGAGCCAGTTTGGAATTGCAGCCTGTGGTCAAGAGAGTCACAGCCAGTTGATAGAACCCTGGTTTACATGATCTGATCAGTGCCATGTAAGACACAGTCTGTGCAGTACCTGCTACGAAGAAAACAGGAATCCTGAGACATGCTTGGAGGTACTTCAGCAAAAAGGAACATGACAGACATGGATGGTTGACAAACACTGTTGTAAATGACACAGTTGTTCCAGACTTCTAAACATGGTTATGTAATTATGTCTAATAGATGTGAAAGTAATGACTACTCTTGTCAGACTGTGATTTGTACTACTACTTAGAGAGCATACCATTTAGTAAGTTACTTTGCTTCATGGAGACTTGCAATTCACCACAAAACTACCCTACTAGAACATGATCCTTGCAATAGTACAAGAGTTCACTTGCACTGGAACATCACAAGGTACTGAATAATTATGCTTTGCAATTCCCACCATTTCAAAGATTCTCTTTTCTAGTTACTATTCTAATACAAAAACAAGTTAGAGAACAAGGTGGGGATGCTGATCCAGAAGAATGGCAAAGGTCCCTGCCTGCATGATCCCAGCATACAACAGACAAGCTGGTGAGCTACAGTCCCATCATCATGGTCCCCAAGAACAAGAGAGGTTTTATATCTAACTAGAGAGAGATAAAACCAACCTAAGCGTTAGCGGATAAAAATGGGTAACGTACACTTGGGCAGTTTGTGTATTTAGCATCTACAACAAAGATGCAAGCTGTAGGATTAAATAAGACAAAGAAAATCAAGGAGGAATAAACCTCAAAACTGGAATCAGAGCTACAGCATTGATAAATTAGCAGGGCATGCTACTGCTGTCCTTCTATAAAGTCTTTTTCTCCATGTCATTCCAAAGGCATCCCAACCCTTCAGCAGCCAGCAATCTCCTAGAAATATGCAAACTGATCATCATTCTTCCCTAGACAGGAAACCAGCAAGCTTGGCCTGAGAGTCAGAAAGAGAAGCTGTAGAGCTGACGGGGAACACTGGCACAGACTCTTAAAACAAATGGGATGAGGGAGGGGAAAAGACATGTAACTGACTTCAAAGGTGTTAAAAACCTCTCAGGCCTCAGCCTTTCATCTGTGCATCTTTGTGCAGGGAATGCTTATTGCTATTTTAGAAACACCCAGATGCACTCTGCATATTTAACCAACCTGTAAGCCAGAATCAACACTCAGTCTTCTCTTGCTTGGTGAATTCCTAAGACTCATGGCCAGACATCCTCCTCCGAATCCTGACAATAGGCTGAGAGAGTCCTACTGGTCTTGGTTAAAAGCAACTGCTGCCTATTTAGAGCATGAAAAGGACAAAACACATTTTTAATGTATTTGATCAAAGTTGCCTACTGTTAACATATGGTTTGGGGAAAAAAAAGCACTATAAAAATGTGGTAACCACATGTCTCTACAGGACTTCAATAGTTCGCAGAATGCCACCAGTTCTCCGACAAGATTAATGGGGTTTTAAATGTGGGCGTACCCCTTCCTTAAAATACCAGCAGAAAGCTCCAGCCAACTTCCACACGAGTGGCTAAGGAGTTCCAGAGGCTTTGGGTTGATTGCCATCTAGCGACAAGAGCATGAGCCACACACAGAACCTCAGGCACACTCTTCGGGCGAGGAGCCCCTTGTCCTTCCTGCAACATTAAGTGGTACCTTGTGGCAGTGAGTTCCACAGATTACCTTTTGTTTCCTTTCCCTTTCAGTTTAGGCAAGTGTTCTGCTGCTGGAGATAAAAAGAAATGCATTTTCAGGGCAGCTTCCCTGTATGCTGCAGAATGACAGCTCATTCTTTTTCCTTCCTTTCTCTGAGGTCAGTCCACCCCATCTTTCTGCTAGAACACAGACAAGGAAGAGTTAAATCACACAGAAGTTAACTACCTGAAACAGAAAAATCAGAAGCAGAACCTAGATATCAAGTCCTTTGCCAGGGTTTATTTAAAACATCTGTATCTTTCACAGCTTTCATGACTCTCTTCAGTCATGTAAAACCTGATTACAATGGGGTTGTGTCAGGCACACAACAGGCTTTGTAGTTAATGAATAATTAGCTCTGAACTTTTACCAACATGATATTGGTAATGTTGGACATGCTGTATGACAAGAATCAATTGTAGAAAAAAAGTAACCATTTTTTTATTAGCACAAAACAGAACAAACAAATGTGCCCTTTAAGGATGCTTATGCAATACCCAAGGCACACGCACACCAAGGCTCCAGGTAAGGGGGGAATTAAAGCTTTTGCAGATATTCTGATCCAATTCCTATTTCACCATAACTCTTAAAGACCAGCCTGTGAAAGGAGATTTGGAAAAGAACTTGGTAGATGCTTGTGTCATGGATAATCAGAAGAACTCTTTCACTTTATCCCATCTGCCACAACTGCTTGTTCTTGTAGCATATCCTTCAGTCTAACTGTAAATAGGACCTTCCGAAATCCAGCTGCAGTCAAAGACCTCTTTGCTCAGACACAGTTGGGGCAGCAGCAGCACAGGACTGTACAGCAGTGCCAAGTCACTATACAGGAGCTCACACCATTCCCATGAGGAGGAAAAATCACACCGCTGTCAGGCTTGTCCTTGGAAAACTGCTCCCCGAGATTGAAAGTTTCCTCCTACTGATCTCATCACACTCAGAAAAAAGTTAAATGTAATCCACGTATTAAATACTATTTTTTAATTACAATTACAGGATATACACTCATTACAAATGTGTTTATTGCTTTGAGCTTTTCAGGAATATCTTGGGTGTCTGCCATCCTGCAGGAGCGTTTTTCAAGCCAGCTCGTTTCCAGATGCGCTCCAAATCTTTCTCAAACTTTATCTAAACAGAACATAAAAACAGACATAAAATTGTAACACAGCTCAGAAGCAACACTCCAGATTTCAGCCGTTGCCCACACGTGCCAAGGGGAATCCAGGTATAACACACACACAAAGGAGAAATGCTTTTTAGCAGGTTGTTCTAAGTAGGAAAATACATAGAAACGCACAAGGATCTTGGTAGCATTGTTTTAAAAGTCCTGTGCAAGGAAAACTGAGAAGATGGAAAATGAAACTAAGAAAATCAAGAGGATTTCCTCATTATAAAGGGTTCAACACTGTTACCTACAAACCTGAAGAAATGGAATTACAATTAACCCCAGTTTGCATCTAGGCAAGGTGAAAATTACAGAGAGTGAGCTAAACTGTATCACAGCAAACCTAACAGAAAGGGAGTGGTGAATGAAAACATCTACAGCTTGAATGAACACCTATATCTTTCTTCACCCCTTCTATTAAGGAAGTAAAAGGCTTCCATATAGAAAAAGACAGTAGGAAGCACGTGAGGATGTTGCCAAGACAGGACAGAAATTAGACCAGTCTCCCTGCTGTAACGCAGCCACGTGAATTAATCTTCCACACAAACATGAAAATTCCTCTCCATTAGCCACACATTCAGAAGTTAATGTCATGATTATGCCTAGTAACTATCACACACACCTGTTTACAACCAGAGTCAGTGTGAATTACAGCTTCTGAAGATGCACATGTCAAACACCAACCAGAAAAAGCTACTGCAGCAGTAAATGCTGAATTCACTAAGGCTCCTGAGCTGCTGCCGCCGCTTTTCCCCTCAATCAATTCCACTTAAAGCCATCATCTGATACCTGAAGAAGCAGACACATTTATGCCAAGCTCTCTCTACCCTGAGCTTACCTGACGCTTCTTCTTGCGACCTTCCTTTATCCGCCTCCGAATGAACTTCCTTCTCTTCAGCAGCTTTTTGAACTTGTGCCGATTCATTTTCCTCCTGCGAATCTTCAAGACGTTCTTACACTGCACCTTGTTGTTGGGTGTTCCTTCTCCTTCCTCCACAGCACCTCCCTCATCAGATGGGGGGCAGTCATAGTGCTGGAGGGGCTCCTGCCCGGCGTCCTCCTGAGCATGAAGGCCTTCTGCTTTCGGAAGGAAGTATCTCACCGTCAGCCAGCTCTCTAAAGGGCTGATGGAAAGCTTCCTGGGGATCAGAACCTCTTCCAGTTCAGGGTCATGCGAGTGCTGAGGCTGGGCTCCACTCTTGTTAGAGGGCTGCGTGCAGTAGTGTGCAGGTGTAGAATGATAGCAAAGAAAGGAAGACACCGACCTCGGCAAACGGTGGCCTTGGAGGAGAGAAGAGTTTCACTTCAGAGGCAGAAGTTTCAAGCAGTACCTTAAGAAAAGCTCTAAAACCATCAGAGAACTGTGGCCAGAAGCACCTACTAGAGGAAGCTGCTTTCAAATTGCATTGCCCATCACAAAAGCAAGGAAGTCGTCTCATTTTAATTCAATAACATTACTGTAACACCATCTGCTAAAAACTGTATTATACGATATTTAGTGTGTAACCTGCGTTAGCGCACTTCGGAACGGGTAAGAAGCGGGCAGTTTGCTGCACTGAGCCTTTCCGCTGCTAAGCAACCTCCTCCTAAACCCAAAGTCACATCAGAGCTACACGATAGTGACAGACGGGAGCC